GTCTAGGGAAGAATCGCTTATTCTCGCCGGAACCGGGAGGCCCTCTCTCCCTCTCTCTCTCTCATAATATCTCTAGAGTACGATATAGTTTGCCTGATAATATTTCACAAACAACCCTCTCTCCGTCTCTCTCTAGAGTAAACAACCTCTCTCCCTCTCTCTCTGGAGTAAACAGCCCTCTCTCCCTCTCTCTCATAATACTTAAACCAGTGGTTTAAAAATCGGCGTGTCGACCCGGAATCGCCCGGGTCGACATGGGAATCGGCTTGCCCGTGCCGGTTCCTGCACTATATCAGAAATCGGGCTCCCGGGATGACTCGAGAATCGGCTTGCACGTGCCTGTTCCAGCATAATATCGAAAACTGCTTCCTACACAATATCGAAAACCTGGCTCCCAGGTTGACACAGGCAAGCCGCTCATAATACTTAAAACCAGTGGTGCGTCGACCCGGAATCGCCCTGGTCGACATGGGAATCGGCTTGCCAATACCGGTTCCTGCACAATATCGAAAACCGGGCTCCCGGGTCGACACGGGAATCGGCTTGGCCGTGCTTGTTCCTGCACAATATCGAAAACCGGGTTCCTGCATAATATCAAAAAACGACCTCCCGGGTCGACACGAGAATCTTCTGGGTCGATACGAAAATTGGCTTGCCTGTGCCGTCTCTCTCTCATAATACTTAAAACCAGTGGTTTAAAAATCGGAGCGTCAACCCGGAATCGCCCGGGTCGACATGGGAATCGGCTTGCCCTTGCCGGTTCCTGCACAATATCGGAAACCGGGCTCCCGGGTCGACACGGGAATAGGTTTGCCTGTACTGGTTCCTGCACAATATCGAAAACTGGGTTCCTGCACAATATCGAAACTCGAGCTCCCGACCCGAGAATCTTTCGGGTCGACACGGGAATTGGCTTGCCCGTGTCGATTCCTACACAATATCAAAAACCGGGCGAGTCTAGAGAAGAATCGCCTAAACTAGGCTCTCGGGTCGATACGGGAATTTTTCGGGTTAACACGGGAATCGGCTTGCCCGTGCCGGTTCTCGCCGAAAATCGGAAGTCTATAGAGTGTGCCGGTTCTCGTCGGAAACCGGGAGTCTATAGAGTCTATAAAGGAATCGCCGATTCCGGCCGATTTGTGACGGCAAAATATTACCGATCTTCGAGATTTTCAATAGCAGACTCGTTATTGCCAACCACCTCACGGGAGCCGAAACACATTTGCATGTGACACATTGCCCCCGTACCTCCACATGCACAATACTAGTGTATTGTGTTCTTATTTATAGAGCATGTTAGTGCTATCGTCCTTCGATGTGGGACAAAATTAGAGTTGCATAAGTAATTGCATGTATATATTTATTACAACCTTGTAAACATAATGTGATGAATTAGTGAAAAGGTTTAGCTCTACAGATTTTGGCTAGCACTTCTCACCCTCTATTCCTCCCGTGCACAATTCCTGTTTGGGGCTTTACTTTTATTTTTTAAAAACGTAAAAGAAAAAAAATCTATGTTGTAAAAAAAATAAAAGGAAAAAAATACTCTTTGGGGCTTTATTTTTATTATTTTAAAAAGTAAAAGAAAAATATTTATGTTGTAAAATAAAAGGAAAAATTTAAAAAATAGAAAGAAAAAAATCTGTTGTAAAAAAAATAAAAGTAAAAAATAAAAAATAGAAGGTAATACAATAAGCATTTTTGGTAAAAAAAATACTATATCTTTTTATTTTTCTTGTCAAAAAAAATAATTAATATAACGTATTTCTTGTCAAAAATAAAATAAAAGATAATACAAAAAAAAAAATATAGTACAACATCTTCTTAATTTTTTTTTCAAAAAATAAAATACAAAGTAATACAACAAGGATCATATTTTTCTTAGCAAAAACAAAAAGATAATACAATAAATATTTATTGTAAAAATAAATAAAAGATATTTATAAATACAACAAGTATTTCTTAATAATATTATAGTTAATTAGGTTGTGATAATACAGTCTAGGGGACCGATCTATTTTTTAAACCACTGGTTTATTCCATTTGAAATATCTCTCTTTCTACTAACAATCTCTTTTACTAAATTTATTCTAGAAATCTAAAAATTTAAAATTTTGAAAAATTAAAGTGTTATTTCAAAAATTGGTAGACATTAAAATAGTTTCTATATTGATAACCAAATTTTTTATTTTATTTATTAATTTTGCATTATAAATCATGTAATGTACTATTTTCTTACCATTGTCAATAATACATTTTAAATTTGATGATAGTATAAAATATTTTGGATTTGTTATTATTTGTATTATGAAATGTAAACCAATAATTTTAATTTTAGTATATAATATTATAGTTAGTTAGGTTGTAATAATTTTGGATTATAGTTAGTTACGTTATAATAATTTGAGTTTTTTTAGCGGATTAGGGTTTTCGCTAATTCAATATTTTAGTGGCCATTTTTTTATCGATTTAGTCTACTCTTTATTGTAGTCTATGTATGATTATATACTTTGTCCATGATAATTCTATGGTTTTTTTTTTGTGTGATGTAAATTTAATGATTAACATAACTTTATACAAAGAAAGAACATTTCAATATTCACAAATTGATAAAAAAAATAAAAGTTAACAATGTAATACCTCATTTCTTATTGGATTATTAAAAAGCAGCATTTATAATGAATTTTAATAATTTTTTTAGATTTTTTTTAAAGCTTAATCCGATCGAGTCAGCCGATTACCAATTCGGATCGCCGATTCATCGATCCGAATGAGTTTTTAAAATGCCCAATCCGGATCACTGATCCCGCTTAAAAGTTAAAACCAAGTGAATCGTTAGGACTTTAGGAATCACCGTCTAAAAACCGAGGGAATCGTTAGGACTTTAGGAATCACCGTTTAAAAATTGAACACTCTTTGTTCAAAATCCTAGGAGGTAATATATCGAGTTATTGACCAATTTTCACACATGGAGGGGAAATAAGTGCCTGTTAGCTTTTTCGCATTCCCATATATTTCATGTCCATTTCTCATGTTTCCTCTTTGTGGCTCTTTCTAGCTGCTAATTGAATCTCTACTTTCAACACTCTTTGGATTTATTTTCTTTACTTTTTTTCTTCCACATGTGAGAAACTATCTTTATAATTTCAGAAATCAAACTCCAAGAATAGCAAAAATTATTTTCTATTTCAACAACACCAATGTCTCAAACCTTCACCAATCGGCGTGCATTTGTCAATCACGTCCAAATCAAAGAATACGTTTGACAATTTCGGCACGATAACTTGATTTTGACCGATTAAACTGCTAAACAATTATTGGAAAAAATTCTAATATATTTTATATTTCTAAATTATTATTACTATTTTTCTCTATTATTTTCAAATCAGTCCAACAGTTGGGGACTAGTCTGATCATGACAACACTTTGTTCTATTAATACTCTGTACACACTCAAGCTATCACCAATAGGAGTCAACACTCAACAACTATCTATACTTACATGGTTCATTTATTAAGCTCTTCAAAATACCACCTTCAATACCGCTTGTGGTCTCACAGATTTCAGTAATAACGTTTATTTACATAAAATATGGTCTCACGGATTTCAGTAATAACGTTTATTTACATAAAATATGAACCATCCGATGGCACAATAAAAGCAAACCTGCTATGGACAAGGACCTCAAATGAACATATCCTTCCAAGAGAGAGGAAGTGGAGATCTATCCCTCACGTAACAAATTTCCAATGCCCCTCTGGTTCAGTAGGAATGGCTATTGCCGCCTCCTCTCCAGCATCGGTCACATGCTTCTTCTGATGGTTCACAGTGCTCAGGAGTGAAGCTGAGGTCAGTACTGCAGCTGAATTACAAGCCGGAGGCAAACTTCCTTTGTAGGCTTTACACACATAAGCTCCTACATTTTCATAGTCCTGAGAGGGAATTATATTAGTCTCTAAAGAATAAAAACAAAGGGTTATCGTACAAGAAATGGAATGAAATCCAATAAATAGTCACCAAGAGCCAACTGTTTTTTAGGAGAATGTGAAAGTACAGTCATATAGACTCCTGACGTCAGGAATTTGATTTCGGAGTAAGCTGCGTAGTTTTACAACACAGGGTGACAAAGTTTAGGTACAATTTAACTTATACACTAAATAATGATCAACACACTGGTGCTACCAGTCAAGGTGGTAGCACCACCTGTGATTTAGTTACAGGTCTCGGTTTCCATTCATATCAATGCTAACTTCTTTCGAAAACCACTTATGGTTTCAAACATTGTTAACTACTAACAGTAAATGTTAAAAAAAAAAGAACACCTTCACCAGTCAAGCATAAGCCCAATTACTATAAATCCCACTCGCTCACTATCAGCATATATCATTTCATTTGACGTTGATGAAGCCAATTGACTATGTGTTTCATAGGCCCATTAGATTATCGTATACCAACCAATATGATACAAACATGATACAAACATGATACAGCTACCAACTTTTAGTGTCTTTTCAAATGATTATGTAGTAAAGAAAAAAAATAAATAAATAAACTTCATGAGATAACTGGTTGGGATTCTCAAATTGAATTTCAAAAAGAAGACAAGGAACAACCTTGTAAAGTGGTTGCCCATCAACGACCACCCAAGGAACATACGTATGAGGAGGTTGTAGAGCATTAGTTTCTGCTGCATATTGTAGTTCAAGCTGCAACAGGATTGAAAATCAGTTCTAAATCAGATTGAAAAAGATAAGAGAGAATATAATTTATTTAATAATGGACATATACAAAAAACTTCAATAATAAGGAACAAAGACATTTGGCCAGGAGTGCTATCAAATATTTTTATGCAAAGGAGCATTTAAATCATTATAGGTTTTGGACTTGCAGGATCACTGACTAAACGTGCAAGCTAACATTTTTTCTTTTATAGATGTAAATATCGTTGCATGAGAACTTAAAAGATCTTCTTAAAGAACAACCAATCCAAACAATAAAAGAGACATTAAAGTTAATGAAAATATCAACCATGTCAATGACATCCCTTTTTCACAATCAGCTGATCTCCAAATGACACCGTAAAGGCATAAGATCCCCATAGTCCCTCCAAATAATTTGTTTATCAGTACCTAAATAACAACTGTGTAGTTCTTTTGGTTCGTCATGATAGTCTAATGATGCAGGGAGAGAATAAAACTAGAAAATTAACAATAAAAGAAGGAAGGTTGAGAGAAAATACCCTCTGCAAGGGAATCCACCCCCAAAACAATCTCTTTCACGAGCCCAATTTTTATTCAATTCATTGACTGCTTTACAATGAAGGGAGGGAGGTCTCCCTTTAAATAGACTAAAAAAAATAAAAAAAAGAAGATAAGCAAAAAAACGCCTCTCTACACACATGCCCCTATTTTATCTCTCCTCCCTACTTTCTTTTCTCTCATAACTTCACGTGCCAAGGATTGGGTTCTAAAAATAAACACTATAGATTTAACCTTATCCTATTTATATCCCTCAAACTAACCCAATCAATACAGATAAACACAATATAAACTTATGCCCACTTAATTACCCATAATTATCCTAACCCTAACAATCTAAACTAACATAATTCTTAAAAATCCTCAAAATATAACCCTTAATTAAAGTACGTAAGATACACACAATATAAACTTATGCCCACTTAATTACCCATAATTATCCTAACCCTAATAATCTAAACTAACATAATTCTTAAAAATCCTCAAAATATAACCCTTAATTAAAATACGTAAAAAAAATCCAAATTAGGTCAGACTGCATCAATCTCCTTTGGTTGGAGAAAACTCGTCCTCGAGTTTTGAAAAGGGCTAAGATGAGATCTACATCAAACCTGCATCCTTCTTTTGCCTTTTTCTCCTTTGACCAGAGGAAAACTTGTTCTCGAGTTTGGAAGAGGGCTAAGATGAGATCTACATCGAACCCGCATCCTTCTTTTGCCTTTTCCTCCTTTGGCTCTAAAAATATCAATGGTTGTGATACATCAAAGAGTGGATCAAAATAAGAAGAAAGAGGGACTAATGCAAATATCTTGAACACATCCATCTTTTCATCATTTATGGGCTTGATTGACATTGTCCGCATTTATGGGCTTGTGATTGTGATTTGACATTGTCCATTTATGGGCTTATGATTGACATTGTCCTCATTTATAGGCTTGTGATTTGACATTGTCCTCATTTATGGGCTTGTGATTGACATTGTCCTCAAAATCCAACGCCTTCTCTGAGATAGGATATTCCACATGATTTTCGACATGGATAGGAAACTGACATTGTCCATTTATGGGCTTGTGAGGACAATTGTGATTGACATTGTCCTCATTTATGGGCTTTTGATTTGACATTGTCCTCATTTATGGGCTTGTGATTGACATTGTCCTCATTTATGGGCTTGTGATTGACATTGTCCTCAAAATCCAACGCTTCTCTGAGATAGGATATTCCACATTATTTTCGACATGGATAGGAAATTGACATTGTCCTCATTTATGGGCTTGTGATTGACATTGTCCTCAAAGCCTTCTCTGAGATAGGA